CATATAGTCTCTTGATAATGAGAAAGTTGTAGCATGTCGAATGACGTTGACCCATCTAGCTTGTGTTTTTCCTCTCGTCCACCCTCCAGTGCGAGTAACTTCAGTTTTTGCGATCTGGATAATAGGTAAGCAGCTAGCTCACAATGCCCGCAAACTCACGATTCTTTTAGCCCTGCGAGTGATATGGAGTCAGATTATTCACACTTCCCATCTGCTCCAGCTTCGAGTGGGAGTGATTGGGAATTTGACGTAGCTATGTTGAATGGCGGTGCGTTTGGAGACCTTAGGTGAGCAATCTGTAGCAATATTGATTCAAACACTCATAGATTATCGTATCTATAGTGATTTTGAATCGAATATTTCACGCCCTCCATCTGTTGCTATCTTGTGTAGCACGCTGGCCAGCGCTTTGCTGTTTCGGGATGTTGAGTAAGCTCTCAGCATTTTACATGGATCGTTTTTGATGATTCCTGGAAGCAATTTTGCCGATCTGCCCTCTGGGATTGCCAGCCTAGCGCCCGAAGTTTCAAGGCATGATCCGTATGAATTGATGCCTGGGGAGGTGAAGGAAGCTTTGGGAAGTTCAGTGGCAACTTCCCATTGGGACTGGCACGATTCTGATATGGTGTGGCTGGATCCTGGTGTATCATCCCAGGTTGCGTATTTTCCCAATCAGTTCTCTATCACAACAAAATGCAAAGTACAGCGCATTGAGCATGTAACTGGCCTCCCATCCCAGTTTCCTATACCCAAAATCGAGACTGTGGTTGTGGTTGATCTCACTAAAATGGAGCATGTTGATGCAGCGATGACGGTTGACTCTATTCTTAAAGATCATGTATGTTTCTCGCTATGTCCTGCTCAATTCATCTCATTTGTTATGCAAGGACCCACATTTGTATGGAGGGGGAACGGGGTCACGGCAGAAAGTTGATGCTTATCTTCCTGGCTCGCTATTCAGCCTTCCTGCGACTGAAAAAGTTGCCTGTCGGCGAGTCGATGCCAAGTGCAATGGGCTCTCTGCCTGTGAATCACTTGATCCCGAGTTTCTCAAGGCACCACGGCGTGAGTTGGACTGGGATGCCGGGAGGAAACTTATTGAAGCGGAATTACAAACTCGTGAGCTTCAGGATGCCTCCAGAGTGGGGCATGTACTAGCGTGAGCAACTCGTTCTCCATTTATGAGCCATATTCTCACATATGGCCTGGCAATTCTTTAGGTTTGTACAGTCTATCGGCCGGTTAAACTGCAAGGCTACTTTAGTGACTGGGGGCAACTGTAAGGGCCAGGCGACTATGCAACGAACTGAGAAGGTTGGGATTTTCATTTACTTCCAATCTGCATTCAATGCTAATTCCTTTTACAGCACATTCGCAATAAGAACTATGTGCTTGTATGCTCAGATCGCAACATGCCATTAGCTCCTGACTCTGCACCACACTCCATTCTTGGTATTCTGGACCATATTGACCAGGATATTCTGTTGAAGGTGATGAGTGGGGAGCGAATCACCGAGGAGACTGACAATGCAGGATTATGTTCAAGAATGATCTCAGCTCACACAGGCCAGAAAGGAAAGGCACTCTGTCGTAAGTGTTTTCACTATTCAGGTGTCTCCACGCGCTAATGAACCATTTAGCCTTCAATCATCTCCGCGATGGACGCCCATTCGCAGCAAAAATTGTGCCGCTTCCATGTCTGGCGTTGTTTTTCATGTTCTGCCCTTGGGAGTCCCTTCATCCTGAGGTCGCACGAATGGCTGTCGTTGTTCCCAAGAATATACCCCATACACATCCAAACCCCCCACCGAACAAGCTGACACAATCTGGGGCGGAGCTGTATAGGGAATGTGTCCGCAAGGTTGGTATTGGAGCAACACCGTTGAAAGTCGACAAGGGTTGGTCCAATTTTTTCCAATCTCCTTCCGGTGTTGATGTTTTCAAAGCCGTAACAACAATGGCGATACTTGGAACTATGCCAGCCTCAGCCTTATTCCATCCTGGACTTGCCAACCGAGACGTCCACTTCAAGCTTGTTCAACAGGTCAGGAAGGAGCTTGAAAACTCACCACCAGCCGGTTCTGTCAAACAATGTAAGTCATTGTTTTGGACTCTTGAACACAACTTACCAGTACACAGAGGTGGCTACATATGTTGCACAGCAGCAGTCTTTGCCGGCCAAGGATCGCTATCTTCAAAGCATTTTCCTGCGCGACGGCAAAACAACTATATTTGGTGCCCATCCTGAGCTCCTTAAGTTTATTCATCGTGTTTGCACCTTAGATTGCAATACAACATTCAAGCCAGTTGCCAGTGAGATGCAAATTTTCGAGATAAACGGTTGGATGCCGGCAATAAATCAGGGTGAGCATATCCTCTCTAACGAGCGCGCATTGGATACTTACTACTGCGCAGCCATCACGCTGGCTCATGTGTGGATGGAGGCTCATGACCATGCCACATTCAAGCAGGTTTGGGAAGAGATACAGCACCTTGTGAAACTCCTCACCACACAACCTATTGGATTCAAGGTGATACACAAAAATGGTACGTTTATGGGCCTGAACGGGGACATGGAAGCGGCACTGGTGCTTGGATTTGGCGATGCTTTTCTGCCAACAATTGACCGGGACGAGTTGCGTGGAAAAATAAATGATACAGAGACACTTCTATGTTACGTCCTCCGGATTTGCTACACCCATATTGATCGGTATGTTCCAAGTTAATTCCTTTATAATCAAGTTGACTGCTTCTGGTGTAATGGAATTCCATTGCTCCCACATCTGTGTAGAAAAGATCATCAGCGGATTCGAAACTTTAAGTACTTGGATTCTCCTCAGGCGGTCGAGGAGTTTAAGGCGTGGGTTGTGACGCTCCCAGATCCAACTGGGGAGCTGGCAGGTAAGGGTTCTCCACGTGAATTGAGTCCATCTGATATTTTCTTTCCCTGAAGGATGGTGGAATCACAAGCTCGGACATTCCTGGCTTCTTCCCGGGGCGATCCAGTGTCTTTCTCAGATGCCTCCAGACGACTGGCACCTCATGGAGGTAACAACCAACCTCGGAGAGGCACAGCATGCTTGGAACAATTCCCAGACTGGTACCAGGATGAGTGTCATCGAATCATTCCAGAAGTAAGCTCACCTCTCTTCATACAAAATGCACTAAGAAAGCAACTGGAGGAGGTGAACCTTGGACAATTCAATGTTCCACCCCCACTTGTGTCAGATTCAGGAGTATCACATCCTACAGCCAAAACAGGAAGCTTCCTCATGCATCCTTGCCATTCTATGAAGCTGATCTGCTTTCATAAAAAAGGACAAGGCCAATACCATGTGAAATGACCATGTGGTTCCTTCTTGGTGACTTTACATATTGGGACATGCATGTGTTTTCTTTTTTGAGGGGTCCCACAGCTGAAAAGGGGGGGTTTCTCTGTACATTTCCATGAAGGTGGACATCTCCCCAGCCCTCACAAAAAAAATTGATGCCAATACCACCAGAAATGGTTAAGAACTGTGTACTTCTTTGATGTATTTGGACATACATGCGACCTTTTTTTTTGTATGTATCTTAAACAAGTAAGAAAATCAAGCAGAATCAAAGACATGGGTTGTAGTACAGTTGAGAAAAGGAGGAGCAATAAGCACATTCAGTCAATTTCAGGGTAATTCACCTTGCATCAGCGTCCTCCACTTGTTGAAATCCACCAACAGAAACCAGTTCACCAGTGTCACCCCACTTGATGTCCAACCCCTTTTGAGCCATGTGCAGGATCTGTTCAAGGCACTGGGAAAGACAGATGTTTGGATGGTTGGTCTGCTGCCCTTCATTGATCCAGAAACTGTGGATATGTGGGATCCGGTCAACACTCCTTGCCCGTCGGATCGTTGCAAGTGTGCACTCATGGAGGGACACCTTGCTCTTGGGTAGGTCAGTGTGTAGTACATTTACATCCCACACTAGGAGTGCCCTCAAGGGTGGATTGCGCCCATGAATGACTCCCACAACAACAACATGAGTGTGCTTGCTGAGCTGCTCCTCATGGCTGGCACCAACAGGGTTGTTGGAGGTTATGAGGAGTCCAAGCTGAACATCCTGCAGCCCAGGGATGCGTTAGAGAAAGGCATTCAGATTGCCAAAGCCTTTACGATACACCCCAGGGACACTCGAGTGCTTACTGGTTTTGGTGTGGTACAGAGGTTGCGGGTCGATCTGAGTGGAGAAGCCCCATCAGCTGGCTGAACAGAGAGAGAGAAGACTGCTCACATAGATGCTCTGTGCATGCTCTCTGATGCTTGCCAGGATGACACTAGCCCCAGCGGCATTTGCACCAAGATCAGTGATCATTTGGGTAATCAATGGGAGCGGTGTCTTCTCATCCTGATAGTCTGTGCTGTCTCCCTCTTCATCCTCATCTATTGTCACATCCTCATGGACGACATCTATCTCTTCACTAGGCTGCCCATTCCCAGCCATAACTCTGAGCTCTATCATGTCAGACTCAGGGAGCTTCTCCGTCTTGGCCTTAGCAAAGAGCCTGGATTGGATGTCCACAGAAAAGGTCCAGGAGTTGGTTGAGGAACTCCTGTTCCTTGTCGTTGAGTGAACGGGCCGAGGCACGGAAAAGGATCTCGCATGCTATAGGCTTGAGAGCCTGCTGAGCGCTGTAGAGCTCAGTCTGAGATGTGCAAGTGAGCAAGTGCGTGAAAGGCACAGAGGAGGTTATGAACCTTGTTCATCTTTGGGAAGGTGGGCAGCTCAGGCAGTATGGTGGCAGCTGCTAGCCGGGCCTCATTCTCCTTGTCTTTGGCAGGCTTTGCAGGACACTGACAGGCTGCTGTGGAGGACATAGTGGCAGGAGGCAGGATGCACTTTGCTGGAGCCTCATGGCATACATGTGTTCACATCAGAGTGGTTATGATGAGAAATTTGCGTATTTTGAGGATCCTTGGGTCGAATTCAGCTTTATGACCGCTGAATTTTACAGCAAATCAAGTGCTTCCCTGGCTCAGTTGGTTAGAGCGCCAGTCTCATATCGTTATGAGGAATCAAGTGATTCTTTAATCTGGAGGTCATGAGTTCGACCCTCATGGGGAGCATGTGTTTTGAAGTTGAGTTTTTTTTTTCGTTTTGCGCTCTTGACCCAGTCTATTTACTCGATATCAACCCGGCCGCTCTGCGCACGGCCCGCGCCATTAGTTTGCCACTGCACATATTATTTTGCGACCCTTCAAAACGATTTACACGTCGTATTTGCACATATTATAATCCCTTGACCCCGCCACTCTCTCTCCTGCACTCGGCCACCACAAACATGGACCTCGGATCGAATTTTGCCGCGAAACTAGAGCCCTTCCTGCTGATGGCCAAGTCGCTCAAAGGCGCTGCGGCCGCCAAGCTCATCGCGGACGCCACGAGCGCCCCGGGCGTCTTTGTCTTTGCGGAGCTGCTGGAGTTGGGGAATATCCAGGAGGTGCGTGCCGAGTCTCTCTGTATTCAAACGTCGACTAGACGACGACGCAGCTGGCCAAGCACGAGACCCACAGCAATTCGTTTGCGCTGCTTGAGTTGTTTGCGTACAAGACGTATGAGGATTATATGCGTAGGTCTCTTGTTACATATTCAAGAACGGACGAATAAACGATCAACGCAGAAAACCCCACCGCCTACCCGCCCCTCAACGCCGCCCAAACCACCAAACTCAAACACCTCTCGCTCGTCACGCTCGCCTCCTCCCGTCGCATCCTCCCCTACGCCGACCTCCTCCGCTTGCTCGACACGCCCTCCGTGCGCGAGCTCGAGGATCTAGTGATCGACGCTATCTACTTGGACGTGCTGAGGGGTCGGCTGGACCAGAAAAAGGAGCAGGTGGAGGTAGAGTATACGATGGGTCGGGATTTGGCGCCGGGGGAGGTGGGGAGCGTGTTAGCTGCGTTGCAGAATTGGTGAGTCTGTCCCTCACTCCCCTCCGAAGGAGGAATACTAACACACGCGACACGACAGGGCGGCGACGACCGCATCGGTGCTGTCGACGCTGGACGCCAAGCTCGCTGCGGTGGCGGCGCAGAGTGCGGCGCGCAAGGAGCAGATGGGGGCGCATGAGGTGGCGCTGCAGAGTGCGCTGACGGCGGCGGCGAAGGACAAGAACGCGCGCGGGAGGGGTGGACTTGGTGGGTCGTCTTCCCTCTATCTATATTTCAATGTCATTTATATTCACGCAGGCATGTCCTACGGCGGGAATGTCCTGCACGACGCAATGGACGTGGACGACCCAGGGTCCGGGTCCGGGATGATGGCTGCGATGGGGATGGGGGGGATGATGGGCATGCTCGGGAGGGACGGGCAGGAGAATGTGAAGGGCAAGGGGAGAAAGTGTGTACAGTTTTCTTTCATTTCAGTGTTGTGCTGATGACGACTTGCAGGCCCGCGCCCGACACGGGGAAGCCGCAGAGGAAGCGGAACCGGTTCTGAATCTGAGCGGGACAGCGTATTTTCTTGCAAGCACATGTATGAATAGAGACCGATATGCAAGCATCGTGCATTTCTGTGCCAGTGCTCTGAATCTGAGACCCGAGTCATAGTGAATCGTCGTCGTGCGTGCGGAGACCGATAACATTTCTCTGCCAGTGCCCTTTTGTGCTCTGAATCTGAGACCAGTCATAGTAGTGAATCGCCGTACGCACGCACGAATACAAGAAAAGAGTAGAAATTGAGAGACGGATGATACAAGCTTTTTGCGCGTCCGCGATCCAATATGGGTGACGGCCCTCGCGCGCACACACATGCCGACAGACGCCCTCGCGCGCCCATACGACACTAGAACCCCCTCCCCCGCCCGCGTCCGCCGCCTCCTCTCGGACCACCACGCCCACGGCCGCGATCCATGCCCCTTCCCCGGCCGCGTCCGCGTGCAGCGTCGAGCTCCTTTTTGCGGCCCTTGGGCTTCGGTGCGTCATCTACCAGGAGCTGTTGGTGCGTGTGAGTAGCAAATCAAAGCTGATGAAAATAGACCGCACGGTATCCAAAGGCAAGGCATCTGGGAGCACAAAATAGCGGATGTTGTTTCCGCGGATGGAGAGGGCGTCGAGGGAGGCGGGGTCGCGGTTGCGGGCGGTGATTTTTACGGTTTTGAGATGGGTGTTCATCTGCATGTCTACGCCTGCAAAGGGGTCAGATTTTCAGCGGGGAACAAAAGACGGAGACGAACCGGTTATTGTGCCGTGTACGACAGAGCCATTCTTGAGCTCTATGGTAACAGTCTCGTTGTTGAGCTTCATGAGGAAGCGAACGAGCTTCATGGTGGAGGGCAAGGCTTGTTTGCGACTGTTACTTGCTCAAGCGCTAGAGCCACAACAGGGCCAAACGCGCCTCTTGAACTTGTGCGGTTCGATTTGTGTTCGTTGGGCTTGCGTGCGGAGAGTGCCTTGTGGCCACCGTCGCGAGCGCAGTTGTGAGTGAAAGTACGAGACTCGCCGTGATCAGCATTCCTGTGTTTTTGCCAAGTCCCTAACTACTACAAGCGTTGTAGTGAGGGCCTTGAAGAAATTCCTGAGGAAACAAACGCCCTACGCTTGTAGTTAAAGACTTGTGCAACTTTTGAGAAAAACTTGACGCGTTTTCATTGTTCGACAAATTTTTCTCAAATTTTCCAAGTCCCCTTATCTCAAACCCATGTCTTGACTTTGAGACTCAAGGAGACTTGAAAAAAAAGTTCACAAAAATCGTCGCGCCAAGTTCCTTCTGAATGTTTTCAAGTCCCCTTAACGCAGCCAACTACAAGCGTTTGAGGGACTTGGTTTTTTTTGGCACCTGAAACTCCCGCCAAGACCCGTTGTTTGCTGGTGTTACTCTACCATGGACTCTCGCATGAATGGCTTCGTCGTTGGGTCGTCGTACTCTGTGCTGGATGTCATCGGCGAGGGCGCATACGGCGTGGTCGTGTCCGCCGTGCACGTCCCCACCCAGCGCAAGGTCGCCATTAAGCGCATCACGCCCTTCGACCACTCGATGTTCTGTCTCCGCACCCTCCGCGAGATAAAGCTCCTCCGCCACTTTCACCACGAAAACATCATTGCTATCCTCGACATCCTCAAGCCCCCCTCCATCAACGAATTCAACGAGGTTTACTTGGTCCAGGAGCTCATGGAGACCGACCTGCATCGTGTCATCCGCACTCAGGAACTGTCCGACGACCATTGCCAGTATTTTATCTACCAGGTGGGACTGGTCGTATTCGAGCGAATCTCCTCTTTATCTCCTATAGACCCTCCGCGCACTCAAGGCGCTCCACAGCGCCGACGTCCTCCACCGCGACCTCAAGCCCTCAAACCTTCTCCTCAACGCAAACTGCGATCTGAAGGTCCGTATCCGAACAAAGAAAATGGAGGACATTGCTTAGATAAATGTAATTCCTGCTTCAGCTCTGCGACTTTGGTCTCGCCCGCTCCGCCCGCCCCCCTCCCAACGTCGCAAACGACAGCAGCACCTTCATGACTGAATACGTCGCCACACGGTCCCTCCTTGTCTACTGTTTGTATGAACCCACTAACACGAGCACACAGGTGGTATCGCGCCCCAGAAGTAATGCTCACCTTTAAAGAGTACACACGCGCCATCGATATGTGGTCCGTAGGTTGTGTGTTGGCGGAGATGTTGAGTGGGAAACCATTGTTTCCGGGTAGAGATTGTGAGTGCCGTCTCGAAGCAAGCGTCCGTCCAAGGGACGAGCGCGTTCCCCTGCGAGCTCACGGCGAGCAGCAAGGATGCCCGCGCCGCAAGCATTCTATTCTCGGGCGCCGCAGGCATTCTTTTTCCTTGCGAGCTCACGGCGAGCCGTAAGGATGCCTGCGCCGCAGGCTTGGTCTTCCTCTAAGAACTCACGGCGAGCCGGAGGAATGCCAGCGCCGCGGGCCCCCTATCACGCCCGCGGCGATTTATGGTCGGGCGCCGCAGGCTTTATCTCTTTCCCTGCGAGCTTACGGCGAGCTGGAGGGATACCAGCGTCGCAGACATTCTCTTTCCCTGCGAGCCCACGGCTAGCCGGAGGAATGCCAGCGCTGCAGGCTTTGTCTTTCCCTGCGGGCTCACGGTGAGCAGCAAGGATGCCTGCGCCGTAGGCCCTCTATCGCGCCAGCGGCGATTTATGCTCGGGGGGCGCCACAGGCTGACTCTTCCCTGCGAGCTCAAGGCTAGCTGGAAGATTCCATCCATCGCCTTCCCTGCCCTCCCTTTATCCTCTGCTCGCTCCCAACGCTCCCTAACCCTCTTCGTTATTTTTTTTCCTTCAGACCACCACCAACTCTCCATCATCCTCGACATCCTGGGTACGCCCTCGATCGACGACTTTTATGCGATTTCGAGTCAGAGGAGGTGAGTGTTTTTTTTTGGAGTGCTCTGGGTATGAGGGAGTGACGCATCTTTCCAGCCGCGAATACATCCGCGCCCTCCCTTTCCGCAAGAAGCGCCCCTTTGCCGCCTTGTTCCCAAAGGCAAATCCAGATGTGCGTCTTTTCTCTCTGCGCGCTTGTCCTGTTTTTTTTTCTCTTTTTTTCCGCAAAGTGGATGGGAGAGGCAGGTCGTCGCGAGTTTTGAGGTGGTGACGAGCTTTTGCGCTTTTGGAGCCGGAGTTTGGTTAGGCTGCCGGTGCGAATTTTGGAGGTGGTGACTCGCGAGAAACCGTGTTTGTGAGAGCGGCGTATGGAGCTCGACGCCGGTTTGGCGCTTTTAGAGCTGACGTTTGCTTTGGCTGCCGGTGCGAGTTTTGGAGATGGCGAGTTCCGTTCGCGACATGACGCCGTTCACGTCTGGCGAGAGTTGGAGCTCGACGGCGGTTTCGCACTCTTGAAGCTGGGGTTTGCTTTGGCTTCCGTCGCGAGTTTTACGTTCGCGACAGACAGCGTTCACGTCGGGCGGGAGTGGAGCTCGACACCGCGCTTTTGGAGCTGGGGTTTGCTTTGGATACCGGTCCGAGTTTTGGAGGTGGTGACTTGCGTTCGCGACGGATCGCGTTCACGTCTGGCGAGAGTTGGAACTCGACGCCGGTTTGGCGTTTGGAGACGCTTGGTGGCGACTCGCGTCCGTGAGAGCCGGCGAGAGCGGT